GTTTTGGTTATTTTCTGACCCTAAACAGACTGACATAAAAGAGTGCTTTTCTTTGACAAAGGCAGCCTTTTCAAATGCAACTGCCAGACAAGCCATTGAGCTTTGGGTTCAATTCTAATTGGCTGAGATCTTTTCATTTGGCAGTTTCATCTTTAATGATCTTTAATGCAAGGGATGTAGGATTATGTGTAGATCTATTCAATGGGTTTTCCATACTGGTGCTTAGGGCAGAGGATTTGGACATAAGCAGGCTACTGACTCTTTCTTCTGGACAATTTAAATTGATTCATACAAGTCCTTTGTACCCTAGGGAAAGAGCAGAACAAATCCAAGAGAGACTGCTATCACTTCACTTGCAGGGAGAACTGCACAAAAAAAAAAAAAGAGGAGGGAGTCCTGGGAAGGAGAAGCACTCTAAAAGCTTTAAAATTGGAGCTTGGTAAAGTCTAGCCAAACGTGGTTAATTCTCAGCAGTAAATTTCAGCACAGAACTGAGGTCATCAGGGAATTGATTTTTGGACTCCATGAGTTAAAAGGTTCATGTATACAAACAACATCCATCCTGTACATTCCCAAAAAACCAGACTGAAATCAACTCTTCAAAACCTATTCCAAAAGAACAAATGGCTTTTCTGAAACCTTAAATCACCCCTAGAGTTACTGTATCAGAATATTGCAGTGAAGGTTTGCTAAAAGATAGTTTGTGTCAGGTAAAATAGCTTGGAGACACTAAGTCACAAATGGCACAAAGATGAAACACTGTTCAGTTCTGACTGTAGTCTTTGATGAGGTACTCAGAACAGGTGCCCAACCTTTAGTCATTGCCCATGATATTGTCATCCACAAAGTACATACTTAGAATTGTGTGACCAAGTGACAGAAACATTACAAAATAATTTCTCATTTTTAGGTAAGTTTGGGGTTTTGTGTTGGACCATATCAATAAATATCCTAGGTCAGACTCCCATACAGGAAGTATCCTTTCAGAGAGACCCTGCTTGTCAAGCCCCTTCCTGGCTTCTCTCTCCTAGGGTAGGTGGGGTTCCTGACAAACCAGAATGGAGTCATTTCCAATTTCCTTCTGTCCTGTGAGGGAAATTCTGCACGGATCTCTCTATTCCCTCAATATTGCATTGCTACAGAAGATTCCTTTCTGAAGGCCACAACTAATTTGGTGGGTCCCTCTGCAAGGAACAAAAGAAAGCATATCTTTATTGAAAACAAGCAGGAATTTTGTCCTGTTGACAACACTAACAAGGCCATTTCAGTCTTCACTGAGGGCATGAAAACAATGCCAGAGGAAATAGCAGCAATGTCATCTTACTGGTCTGACTTGCTCTGCTCCAGAACATATGCAAAACGTCCATCCGTCTCCTGGGTACTGCTGCTCACTTTGCTAAAGTTTACAGTAATTATGGGAATCCATGCTGGTTCCTGGGACATTAGTTGGACAAATAGAGGCGGCAGATAGGACCAGTTCTGGAGAGATGAGTGGGCAGCCCTAAAGAAGCCTCAGGAGCTGTGCAATGACTCTTTGCATTGTAAGGAGTGTATTCAAACAAAAGATAAATAAGGCCAGATTTCCACTATCATTCTCAGTCAACTGAAAACAAAGTCAAGCCTGTGAAGAGATATCTGCAACAACCATTCCAGTTGCTTTCTGGAGGACTATTCCTCGGAATCTCACAGACCTCCAGAAAGGCTGTCTGAGAATTCATGAACAAACAAGAGATGTTGAGCAAAAGGATGCCAAGCTTCAAAATGTGGGATGCGTAAAGATAGAGCTATTTAGAGCTTTTTAGTGCAAAGTAGAAGGCCATGATACCTCACAGAAGGTGCTTTAATAAATATCAAAATAACACACTGTCCACTCATAAGTGAGCTCCATGGGACAGTATTCTTAAGAGCCCCCAAACAAATGTCCATGGATATTTAAATGAATTGTGATACTGCCCCAAAATATTACACTATGCAGTGAAAAGAATGGGAAGAAGTCTACAGCTGCCCGTAAAGAGATGGGTTGATCTTGGACATTGTGGCCCAACAGAAGCCAGATACAGTGGAATGTACTGTAACACTATAGTCCATAAATCAGTAAAAGAGGCTGTGGCTCACTCTTTGGGAAAGGGATTGAAAGAGAATATCAGTAGTGTTCCTGGGGCTGGAAAATTTTTTCATCTGAGTACTGGGTGGGTACAAGACTTCACTGAGCCATGAGGGTGAGACTTATGCAAGGTTATATAGTGTTTACTGTCTCCTGGCTGTTTTCTTGACTTGCGTATGTAAGTAAAAGTATCCCTGCATAATTTTTACTAGTAATCTTCAGACTTGTGTGTTTTTCTGTCTTTCTGTCTCTGAGCTGGCAACAGTCGGCTGTTTTCATCCTTCAAACTTCATATCTCCTTTTGCTAATGGACGTTACCCTATTTCAGGCACAGAACACTTTAGATCAACTTGGCAGGCTGAGAAAACCTACAGCTTGCTAATTTTGCTTGTCAGCATGATGTTGGAGGATTCTCACGTTAAAAATGAGAAACCTATTTTTATATATAATTTAGACATCCTAAGAATGCAAAGAGGAAACAAGACTAGGAGGACCAAATATGGAGGGTGATGGAAGCAAGGATTAAGGAGGAAAGATGGGTAGGGACAACTAAAACTGAAGACCATTAGGAAAACCACAGGGAAAGCTACTACTGTAGGACCTTCCTAAAATATCTAAACATATGAAAGGAATCTATATTAAGTCACCAAATAATAGGGGAGACAATGACTCAAATAGACATCTTAAGGGGCCAAATAAAACCTCAAGTGCCAGGAACTGGTTACAACTTGTTGAACTGTTGGCCAATGAGGTACTGTGGAAACCCCAAATATCACATCTGATTGCCGAGGTTATTGGCTATTTTACATAACATGGTGGTAAGGCCTTATGGCTGAACACAATACTTACCTATGTCATCCAACATGCAAAACTCTAGCCTTTGCCCAACTGGAAGTTCCACATTTCCAACTATCTCCTCTACTGGAAGAGAAAGGACCTGCAAGCACTGTGACCTACAGCAGTGACTTGTCTGCACGATATATTGTCCCAATAGTGGTACAGATGTTATGGGAGTGATCAACAACTGTTTGATTGGATTTCAGGCCCATTCTATAACATGGGACCCATACCTGACACTTAGCTAAAGTGGCCAAGAATCTGACGGGAGATAGGTCATGGGCCTATGGGACAACCTGCTGTTATGATTCTGATAAATGTACATGGCAAACATGTTACTCCTAATGGCACATGGCTGTGTGCATGTGCATAGATCAACCAGAGAAGCTTCTTGATGCAGAAGGTTGAAATTACCATGCACCCACAACTGGATATTGTACAGAGTGAGAGATCTGAGCACTCAGTAACGTCCTTATCAAACCTCTCCCCTCAGATACCAGGATTCTACACAGAAGAGGGAGCAGAAAGGTTATAAGATCCAGTAAGATCCAGAGGGGACAAGGAAGTAGTGTCTTCCAAACACAACAGGACAGGCGTGCATATGAACTCAATGATTATGGCAGCTCACACAAGATCTGCACAGGTTCAAGTTCCCGGCATTGAGAGGAAGACGTCGACACCCCTAACCAAGAAGCTATTTACAATTGATGCACAATAGTAAATAGGTAATATGTTTTTTTTTTTTTTCTGATTAAGAAATTAGGTATATCAACCACATTCTAGAACAGATCCCTTGATACTCACTACCCACCTGATGGGAAATGTCATTCTGTAAATATGTTTCTCTTACTTGTTAATGAATAAAGCACTGTTGGCCAACAGGAAAGCAAGATAGGCGGGACTAGGAGACAAGGAGGAGAGAGGAAGGAGTAAGGAGGAGTCAACATGGAGAGATTGGAGAAAGCAGAAAGCCAGCACCTTTCTCCGGTACAATAAGACCACGTGGAAATACTTAGATTAATAGAAATGGGTTAATATTTAAGACAGAGCAAGCCAATAAAAAACATTAGAAAAAGGTCAACAGAATTATATCTAATACAGAATCTCTGTGTGTTATTTGGGGATGGTGTGGCCAGACCAGCAGGGGGAAAATCCTCACTCATACATCCACCTCTGTGTATGACCACAAATCTGTTTAACTATGTTAAGTGTGAACAGCCCCTTGGTTTCCGCAAGCCCAAAGGCTGGGAGTGCCATCTGGAGATCTACGACAGAGGTGTCCTTGCGAGGCTGTAACCAGCCTAATTGATCTCCCCAACAATGCATTTGGAAAATGTTGCAGTTATGAGTCTATTTCGCCATGTTTCTGAAAAAAAAAAAAAAAAAAAGCAAAAACAAAAACAAAAACAAAACACGGTGATACTATTACCACATTGGAATGTGGTATCTGGGACAACCTAAATCTATGTAATCTATGTTTCTAGGTCACAGCAACTCAAGGATAAGGCCAACCCTGGAATAAATTCTCTTATTCCTTTTAAGGTGAGAGCTGTGTGTTTTATGTATTTTTCTCCCCTGATTCATTATAACAGAGACATTCTTCGTAGTGTTTAAACTGACAAATGTCCCCCCCCCCGTATATATATATATATATGTGTGTGTGTGTGTGTGTGTGTGTGTGTGTGTGTGTGTGTATGTATGTATGTATGTATGTATGTATGTATATAATGGACCCACATCATCATTTCTTCTAAGGTGCAGGGACCAGCTGTAAGACCTCTCTGCCTTGGCCATCTGTCTCAGTCCTGTCTCTCTAGAATTGCAGCAGGCCAGTCTCCTTACACTGTCAATGCTGAGAATACATCAGCTCATTTGTAGCTCAGAAGTTGCTTTCTCTAATAATGATCACTCTTTGATCCAAGTCCCCAGAGCTTTCCACACAATCTACAGAGGAAATGGGAGGGTACGCCATGTAAGTAAAGGGATTGTTGATGTGTTGGCATAATCTATGCATACAGTTCAATGTGTCACTGCAGAGATGCAATGATTAAAAACATACCTTTCTCATAAGCCCACATCAAACATGTCTGCTCATCCTTTTCACCACTAGACCTGCTGGGATCACAAGCAACTAGATTCATGTCTGCACCATTATCCAGTAGGAACTGAACCAGGCAAATATGGCCATGGTAGCAAGCAGAGTGTAATCCTGTGATGGAAAAGAACAAAGGTAGGAAAAGAAGAAAGAAGACAAAGGTGCTTTGATGTCAAAAGAGTCATTCCTAAATCAGGATTGTTTCCAAAAATATAAAGCCATGCTCCATATGTGGTAAAGAATTATTTTATTATTGAGAAAGCAAGTGATATACTCAACTATAGAGGTATTCTAGCCTAAGCAAAGTTCTTTACTGACTATACTTCCACAGAGTTTGTTTTTATTTTTTATTGCTATTTCTACAGTAATGGTCAAGAACAAATATTGTTGCCTTTACAAAAGAAAGAAATAATCAAAAGTCCAGTCAGTATTTTTCTTGAGCACCAAACCATGGGCAGGGGGATGTCTTCAACCTGTCATGATCCAGGGTACACATGTTGCAAAGACTGTATGTAGATTTTTAAATCAACAGTGGAACTGAACAAAACTCAATCTGATTTTTGTTATTGGCCTTTTCCATTAATTCTAAATGATTCTAATTGATAAAATACCTTGGCCCCTGGAGCTTGGCCATTCTCAGCATCTTATTCCCCCTTGGATCAACACTATTCTTGATAGCTGATGGGTCTGTGTTCTCGGCTCAGTCTTACCTGTATGCCCATCTCTTCCTTGATGATTAATGCTCACAGCATTCTGATCAAGAAGAAATCTGACCAGGTCAATGTTCTTGCCATAGGTACAAGCACTGTGGAAGAACAAAATAGAAAAGATTGAGGGTGCTATGTCCTGAGCCATGTGCCCAAAGACTCCCAATTCCAAGGATTTCAGGGTGGACTGTATTTAGAGATACTGTCTTCCAAGATAAAGTTGAAGCACAGCAGGATACTTAGAGTAGATCCTAATCTAGTAAGTTGGTGTCCTTATGGGAAGTGGAACTTGGGACAAAGATTGTACAAGTAGAAGGTTGAACACAGGAAAGTAGAGAGAAGTTGACCACCTTCAATCCAAAAACAACATTTGTGTAGGAGGCAAAAGTTGTCACTACTCAGATTTTGTAGATCTGAAGGTGTGAAATGGTGCATCTCTATTGTTTAAGTCATCCAAGGTGACTACTAATATGAGAATCATTACAAACGATATAAACTTGGTTAATCCAGGCCAATGCAGACACTGGTGTGTATAAAAAAGTAACAGAGACACAGGCAAGGAAGGGTGGTGGTGGAGGAGAAGAATGAAGAAGTAACAGAGCTCTTGTAAGCACTGCTTAACAACTGGAGCAAAACAAAGGAGTGTGAAATTCCTGGAATTTTGGTCAAGTATTCCCCATGTTGTCAATTTACCTTTACTCTAGCAGATACATGCAAGATAGTCAAATGCGCATTCCAGACAGGTCCAGGGAACTTTGATCAAACTGAGATAATCATCTGAAGTTAATCTCCAGGAAAAGGATTCCATTTCTCTTAAGGACTCTGTGACCAAAAAGTAAGTGCTCCAGGTTCTACTGTTCTAGGAAGCACATGCACACCCTAGTGTAGAATGTGCTTGGGCCTTTGAGCTTGAGTTTCCATTCTTTTCCCTCTCTACTTGCCACATGCTCTGAAAATTTTAAATGAATCCATGCTGTGGGCTATGGTGTCATCACACAGACAGTGGATCTGATCACTTCCTTCTGGCTGGAGAACACTGACATGGTGAAGTACTCAAAGGAACTAAGATTTTACTGTTCTTCTCCAACATACTACATCTCAACAAGTGTTTCCCCTCGTGCTCCTTCATCCCCTCCCGGAAGTCTTTTTCCCTCACTCCCTCTCTCTTCCAGATCCATCCCTCTCCATCTTCTGTCAGAAAAGAGCTGGCCCTCCATGACACGCTGCAATAAGATCAGGCACATACAGTCACATCAAGGCTGGGAGGGACAACCGGTAGGAGGTAAAGTGTCCCACAAGCCGGCAAGACAGTCAGAGGCCCTGTTCCCTCTGTTAGGAATCCCACAAAAACACCAAGCTACACAGCTGTAACCTACAGGCTCCCTGATCTCTGGGAGCCTATGAGTTCCAGTCAGTTGATGCTGTGGGCCCGGTTCTTGTGGTGTCCCTAACCCCTCTGCTTCCTCTGATCCTTCCCCCTCCTCCGCAGGACTCTCCAAGCTCCACCTGATGTTCAACTGTGGGACTCTGCATCTGCTCCTGTCAGTGGCTGGATGAAGTCTCCCTGGCCCCTTGGATGATGATTCTGTTAAGCTCTGCTCTCAGAACACTATGCAGCCATTGACAAACTGTAGGTCAAAGATTTGATAGCTGGGTTGGTGTCCCAATCACTCCACTTGAGGCCTTGCCTGATTGTAGAAAATGGCCCATTCAGGCTCGGTGTCACCTGTTACTAGGAGTCTTTACTAAGGTTGCTCTCAAATATTTCAGAGAGTTCCATTTCACCAGATCTCTACCTTACTCATGAAACATCTCCCAGTTCTATTCTTTTCTCCCCTGCCCCTTCATCTTTCCTGTTCCCAACCCTGCCTGCCCGTAGTCTACCCACAGAATCTATTGTCTCTCCCTTTCCCAGGGAGAGCCTTGCATTCCCCTTTAAGGTCTCCTTGTTACTTAGCCCATCTGCATCTGTGGACCACACTATGACTGTCTTTTACTTTACAGCTAATATCCACTAATAAGTGAATGCATATAGTGTTTGCCTTTCAGGTTCTAAGTTGAAAAAAAATCATCACTTAGGATGAATTTTTTTCTAGTTTTGTATATTTGCCTGAAAGTTTCAAGATGCTATGGTTTTAACAGCTGAGCAATACTCCACTTAAAGCAATTCCACTAAGAATAGCAACAAGACAGGGCTGTCTCCTCTTTCCAAAACCTATTCAAGATAGTACTTGAAGTTCTAGCTAGTACAATAAGACAACTTTAGGAGATCAAGGGGAAACAAATTAGAAAGGATGAAGTCAAAGTACCATTACTAGCAGATGACAAGATACTGTACCTGCACCACACCAAAAACTCTCCCAGGGAACTCCTACAGCTAATAAACATCTTCAGCACCTTCAGCAAAGCAGCTGAAGATTAACTCAAACATTTCAGTAGCCTTCTTATATACTATTTAGACAAGTAGGTTGAGAAAGAAAGCTGGGAAATAACACCCTTTATAATAGCTGAAAATAATATAAAGTATCTTGGGGTAACCCTAACCAAGCTAGTAAAAGTTAGATATGATAAAATCTTCAAATATTTGAAGAAGGAAATTGAAGACGATATCAGAAACTGGAAAGGTCTCCTAGATCATGGATCAATAGGATTAATATAGTAAAAATGGCCATACTACCAAGAGCAATCTACACATTAACTCAATTGCCACTAAAATTCCAACAAATTGTGGTGATATCTTGCTTGTACAAATAACGCCTGCCAGAAGATCAGTGAATGGAGCTGACCACTGGGTAACCATAGAGATCTGGAGGTTATAGCTAATGGCAAGTTCCATTTTTGATCTTCAGACAGGCTTTACTTGTGCAAGCAAGATGTCACCACACACAATTCTTTACATAACTTGAAGGAACAATATTCAACTTCACATGTAAAAACAAAAATCCCAGTATATTAAAAAAAAAAAAAAAAAAAAAAACAATCCTGTACAATAAAAGAACTTCTGGAGGTATCACCATCCCAGATTTCAAGCTATACTACAGATCTGCAGTGATTAAAAAAAAATCACCATGATATTGGTATAAAAACAGACACATGGATCAATAGAATTCAATAGAAGACACAGACATACATAAACCCTCTCACCTATGGACACCTGATTTCTTTTTCTTTTTTATAACAAATCCAGAAATATATAATGGGAGAAAAGAAAGTTTCTTCAACAAGTGTCTAACAGGAATTTGGCATGTAGAAGAATGCAAATAGATATATATCTATCAAGTGCTCACACATGCGCACACACACACACACACACACACAAACACACACATACACACACACCTGCAAAAAAAGCAGGAACACTGAAGCTAAAGAGGGTGGAGGAATAGTTGCCTTGAATCCACAGGCACAGGAGAAAACTTCCTGAACAGAACACCAGTAGTGCAGACACTAAATGGGACCTCATGAAACCTAGAACCTTCTGTAAGGCAAAGGACACCATCAATAGGACATAGTGCCAGCATGCAGAATGGGAAGAGACTTTCACCATCCCCACATCTGACCGAGGGCTGATTTCCAAAACATAAAGAACTCAAGAAACTAGACATTAAAAAATTAAATGATCCAGTTAAAAAAAAGTTGGTTACAGATCTAAACATAGAATTTTCAACAGATGACTACAGGAATCAAGATTTTTATAGATTAATTCTGCAGTAGATCTGTTGAACTACTTAAACGGAATTTCTACTTCCAGTGCTTACTGTGAAAGCCGAAATGAATACAGGGAGGACGAGTTTGTGCGAGGTAAATACATTGTGTGCATAATACCTGTCTCATTGCTGCTGTGACGTGTAACTGGGGAAGGAGGGACTCCCTTTGGCTCACGGTCTAAGAGGGAACAGTCGGCTGTGCCGCGAAGGCAAGCAGTAGGGCCTGGAGAAGCAACGCAGTCAGAAAGCAGAGGAAGACTCGGGCTGGTGCTCAGCTCACTCCTCTCTCTTGTGTGTTTTACTTAGATTGGAAAGACACCACTCATATTCACAATGGGTCTTCCCTTCCCCCAGTTAATCCCTTCTACCCATGTCCTTTCATGCAAGGGTGAGTTTGCATCCAGCCAGTCAAGAAGAAAAGGAGGACTAAGCATGACACTCATCAGTGATTATTGTCTTTTGTTTTTAACTAGCAAGTGTCAGAAATAGCCCCTTTCCTGCAGTTTCCCTTTACAGAAAGTGATCACTCCTTCATCCTCCCAAACCCTGGGAAGCCAGGTTTTCTCATCTAGTACAGAGAGAAACTACATATAACCATGGGTAGAGGAAGGGGACAGAGACTCAGTTCAGCACTTTCTCTGGGTCTCACTACTTCTTCTCCCTGTGGTGGCCCTTGAGGAAGTCACTCTTAATGAAGCTGTCCCGGAATTGTGCACATAAATCTTTCTGCTGTGTGATGCCTTCTCATGAACGAAAGGCAGCGCTCACTATCTCAATTTTATGTTATATTGGATGCCTGATATAGAAGCACAAGGTTATTTTTACTTTAGGATTAATGATTTTTTTTCCTGTCTATTTTTCACCAACATAAACCAAACAATATGTGGACAACAAATTAATCTAGAATACAATTTTTTAACGGTTGCAAAAAAAAAAAAAAAAAAAAAAAAAACCTGAGAAATACATAAGGTCCAAGTAAATGATCTTTATAATCAAGGTCTATTAAACTCGAAGAAACATTTTTTTATAGTAAAATGACAACACTTTGACACTTCTAATGCTGTGAATTGCACCCACCCACCTTCCTCGTGGACTGTGCAGAAGCATTGTGGCTCTGGGCTACCAGTAGCCTCCTGCTTCATTTGCTTGCTGAACTTGCATGCATATTTTCCAAGCCCAGCTGATCCTGCACTGCTTTTAAAGGGTTCCAAGAAAAGAGCTACTTCCTAGGTAACCCAACACCAACTAGGCTTTTAGCAGCTGACAGATGAGTATCTTGGGTAGACACATTTGCACATAAGGTTTAAGGAAGTGAGGGAGAAAGTGTCACATTTGATGCTGATGAATCCTAGTAATGAGACTCTTGTCAGGGGAGGATTATGGGTACGGCCCCGTTTGGCAGCTTTTCTCAGAGTGAGGAGCAATATGCTTACAGATGTTGATAGGCCTGTTACCTTGGCAACACCAATCCTGTCTTTGTGGCTCCAGCTGGTAATGCAGCATCTGGCTCCAACCAGTCTGCTGCACTATGGCAGTGTCTGCTTCCTTCCACATCTTCTCCCAGCGTCCCTGCATCCAGCCAGCCTTCTTTTCCTTTGCCTACCTCCGTGCCCACTTTCTGATGGCAACAACTGTCACTATTCATTATGGCTTTGTGTACACGACTGTAGGCGCTGCATGGCGTCGGGCCAAGCCCAGTGGCTAGTGTGCAGAGATAGATGTTCTTTACCTGTGGAAAGCTGTCTCGCTGAAGATGTTTTCCTTAGTCAGACTTTCAGTTCCTGTTATGTGGATGATCTCCTTTGCAACTTCAAAATTTCCACTGTAGCATGCCCTGGGCAGGAAGAAAATACCTTGACATTTTGATATGCAAGAGGACACAGGTTGGGTCGTGAGAAATGCTAAGCCATACTCACAGGTGCAAGGGTGTGTCGCCGTAGATGTTCACCACATGAGGCTGAACCTCCAAGTCACTTTGGAGTAAGTACTTCACGATGTTGTGGTGTCCAAAGCGAGAACAGAAGTGCAGAGGGGCGTGGCCCTCATTGTCCTGGGCATTCACTGTGATTGGTGAGAAAGTAGAGACTTTTGCCATTTTCTTCCGCATCCTTTATATGTAACGCCATGCGCTCTGCCTAAGTGCCCAAGATACTCTTAGAAATTGCCAATTACTGTTTATAATAGGGGAGATTAAGTGCAACCAATTAAAAAAAGTTATAATTCCGTTGTATTGCCTATTACCACATCAAACAGGCTTCTCTTTAGTGCTCACAAATTCTATGGAACACAGCTAATCAAGTTTGTCTTGCAATGAAGAATCTGATAAGCATCCACAGCATCTGTGAACTCATTCCCATAAGCACCCCTTCCAACCGACCCCTATTTCCTCTGAAGGATTTTAAACTTTGAGAGTTCTTGACCTGCCTGGCTCATACAATCCCTCTTTGACTGGATTCTCAGAGCTTGGCCCAGTGCTTGGCTCTGGATGTCTGCATCTGCTTCCATCAGTTACTCGCTAAATGCTCTCTGATGACAATTGTGGTAGTCATCGATCTGATTACAGGAGGTGGCCAGTTTGGGCACCCTCTCTGCTGTGGCTAGGAGTCTTAGCTGGAGTCACCCTTGTGGATTCCTGGGAGTTTCTCTTGTACCATGTTCCTCCCTAGCTCTGAAATGGCCCTCCCATGAAGATGTCCCTTTTATTACCTTCCCCACCATCTTGCCCCCAGCCCACCCAGCATGCTCCCTCAAGTTCTGAAGTCCTGTATTCCCTGACCTCTGACTCCAGTTTACACAGGAGACCTCTTCTATTTCCCCTTCCTAGGGTAAGGACTGTATCCCTCTTTGTACCCTCTTTTTTTTTTTTTTTCCCTAGCCTCTCTGGGGCTGTGGATTGTAGGTTGGCTATCCTGTACTTTACCTCTGTTATGAGTATGTACTACGTTTGTCTTTCTAGGTCTGAGTTACCTCACTCAGAAAGATTTTTGTTTTCTAGATCTATCCATTTGCCTGCAAATTTCATGTGATCATGGTCGTTTTGTTTTGTTTTCAAATGAGTACTACTCCATTGTGTAAATTTACTACATCCTTCTTAATTTGGGTTCTTTGATTAAGGGTTATCTAGATTGTTTCCAGTTTCTGGCTATTACAAATAACACTGCCATGAACATAGTTGAGCAAATGTCCTTGTGGCATGATTGAGCATCCTCTAGGTGTATGCCCCAGATTGGTATAGTGAAGACTTGAGGTAGAGTCCCATTTTTCTGTGAAACCATCATATTGATTTCCAAAGAGGTTGTACCAGTTTCTACCTCCAGCATCAGTGGAGGAGTGTTCCCCCTTACTCCACATCCTCTCCTCTCCACAGTAAGCTGTCATCAGTGTATTGAGATCAGGACCTATCCCTAGTGCCTCACTGGCTTTTGGGAACATGGAACTTGTTGTGGCATGCTGGAATCAAGCTCATGGGAGGTCTGCCTCTTTCTGCATAGATATGGAGGAGGAGAGAAGGGGGAGGGGGATAGACAGGAGTTGGGAGCAGAGAACAGGAGGGGAGGAGAGAGGGAAAACTGTGGTTGGTATATAAAATAAATGAAAAAAATGATAAAGTTCTGGACCGATGAGATGACTCGTTGTATAAAGGCATCTGTCGCTAAGCCAGTGAACCTGAGTTCTGGCCCCAGGACCCACATGGTTAAGGGACAAAACTGATTCTGATAAGTTGTTCCCTGGCTTCTCACATAAGCTATGGCTCATGCCCCCACACACAGATCCATGTAATTTAAAAATTTAAAGATCCCACCCAGATCACTAAATCTGGTAGTGCTGGTCCAGTGGGTTGGGGTGACCTGAATGTTAGGGCACTGTGGGGGTCCTGAACGTTGGGGCACTGTGGGGAGTCCTGAACGTTAGGGGACTCTGGGGGTCCTGCGCTCCCTCTCCAGGTGAGAATCACCAACCATCACAAAGGGGGAAGCACCTCTGATGAGGATGCTCAAAGGCTTCACCTGGAACAACACAGCACAGTTACCTGTGCTGGCCCTGGGGTAATTGACACTTCTCTATCCCTTCTTCAGATCAAATCACCACGTCAGACTCTGACTGTGACACGGTAGGATGGGGTCTAGTCTGTCCTGATAATATGGCCATTAGTGACAATAATGTCATCCAGTTTCTCCTGGTAGCAATTCCAATCACAGGATTAGGTCCGGCCTGGATGTTTCTGGAAGCCTGATGTTCTCGTGTGTCTCCGTGGGACCCTTTGGGGGTTGTGACATTGGAGCTATGAGAGCTCTGGGCCTGATCTTTGTCTTTGCTTTGGAGTAGACTCTGGGTGCTCTGGTTTCCTTTCAGAAAACACGGTGATAAAATACATCTTGGGGATGAAAGGGTTTGTGGTAACCCACTACTGAGGGGATTTAGAACAAGAACTCAAGTAGGAAATAAAATGGGAACCACAGGAGGGTGTTGCTTACTGGCTTGAATTTTGGTTCATGCTTAGCTAGGTTTCTTTGATATACCAGGACCAATGTCTCCACATGGGCTGGCTCTGTCTATGTTGGGCTCTGTCCCCCTATGTCAGTCATCAGTCAAGCAGTCTCTCACAGTTATGGCAATTCTTCAACTGAGGGTCTTTCTTTCTACATGTCTCTAACCCAGCTGCCGTCTCATTCCTTAAATGGTCACTGCAGGTCTATCACGTCTAAGTACTCAAGTTTTATTAGCCATCTCAGCTACAGCACAATCATTGTGGGAACCAAACAGAAACCATCAGTAAGCCTCATGTTTGTAGGACGTTTGGTGTTAGACTCTTTTGGGGGCGCGTATCCACATTTAATGAAAATCATTTCACTTCCTAAGTTTTCTTCTAAATTATTGTTAAAACCAATAAACTATAAATACATAGTAAAGTCTTGTTGCAAGAAAGACTTAATGATAACTAAACACCGAACTGCTCAATTCTAGGTCTGACTTTGAGTAGATATCCGAGTAATAAAATAGTTGGATCAGCTCTAGACACATTTTTTTTTTCGTGATTTCTCTGTACAAGTTCAGGTATTATTTGATGGCTTTGTAAATGCAGAAGAAATACAAGGATTTTAAGTGATGAAGAATTTCAAGCGAAAGCAAGGGAAGATCACAGAGACTCAAAAGTGCACATGGTTGACTCCAACTGTAGATGCATCATCATGTAGCACGTAATGCACATGGGTTTTGAAGACGGATTCTCCTTCTGGTTGCTGCACTTGTTGACGGCCCCTCTTGTGTTCTGCAAAGCCTGTTAGGAGTGGTTCAGGAAAACACCGTTTCTTTAGGAGAACACGCTTCCCTCAGAACGCCCTGGCTCTTTTCATTTTCTGCTTGTCTCTAACCACCTGATTGCTTTTTCATGCTCTGTTGGAAGCCAGATAAAAATCAATGGCAAGGGCCTGTTCTGGAGCCCCCGATATCGGCAGCCTGCCCTGAAGGATCCTGAGTCTCTACTGAAGACGGACAGAATAGTGGAATCATGGGGGGATGTCCTTCTGTATAAATGTTTCTCTCATTGGTTTGATGAATAAAACATGGATTACCCAATAGCCAGGCAGGAAGATAGGCAGGGTGACCAAATCAGGAGAAGGCTGGGGAGAGGGAGGCAGAGAGAGGGCCAAGGTAGAGACACCATGTTGCTGAAGGAATAACATGCTGGATTACAGGTAAGCCACAGCCTCGTGGCAATACATAAATTAATAGAAGTGAGTTAAGACAGAGGTAGCCAGTAAGAAGTCTGTGCTATCAGCCAGCAGCTTAATAATTGCTGTGTCTTGGTGTGCTCATTTGGCGCTGAAGGATGGCGGGACCTGGCAGGATGGAAACCTCTGTCTTCAGTGGAACACAGTCTTACGAAAGCTTGTGAAGCTACTTGGCCAAACTCAGTCCTCCCAGTGTGATTCCTCTCCAGCAGAACCAAGGGAACTTCAAGGTGCCCTCCCTGGTGGACATTCCTCTGTGCTGCAGACATTTCTCCTTCCACTACATACTGAGGGGCATGGCATCAGACACAGGGATCACACAGCTTGGTCTCAGCCATTGTGAGGTACTTGTTTTCAATCTTGGGGTGATTTAGAGACTAAACTCTACAAATATTTGTGTTACCTTAGGAACATTGAAATATGATGACATGCATCAATTCTGTTTGGAATAGCTTTGCATTTTTCTAAAGGCCAGCCTGGGAGTGCAGGTAGGTCTCTGATCCAAGATGGATTTGAGACATTGGCATTATAACTTCAAGATAAACCTGGGCTATAGAGTGAGTTCAAAGTCAGCAAGACAACTTAAGGAGACATTGTCTCAAAACTAATGTGATGTCTGTGGTTATTACTTGATGGTGGGCAGTTTATAGAGCATGTGCAAAGCTCCCCCTCCCCCCGAAGGCTTCCTCCCCAGCAAAGCAAGAAAATCTGTATCAAGATAGTTAAATAAAGGAGACTTCCCAACAAAGGAATGAATGTTTTTCACTATCAGGAACGTATTTCATGCTGTCCTTCATTTCATAAAAGAATGAGTGCTTGCCTGCCAATGGATTTTGAAAGATGGTAGGTTATGTGGAACCTGACTTATTCCTGACTACTGACCTTAAAAATATAACAAAAACTTCCAGACTAAATCAACAATGACTGACAAGAGTAGCCACCGTTTAAAATAAATTTAACACGTGTCTTCAATAAGCTATCAGTAACAAATCTGTACAAGAATTCCAACAAGATACATTTAAATGATAAAGCAGTTTTGCTAAGAACTACCTTACAGAATCTTTTTATATTTACTTTTACTTTTTTTAATTTTTGTATGTGTTTGTTTGTGTATTTGAATTTTGAATGCATTTCTCTCTCTCTCTCTCTGTGTGTGTTTATTTGTGTGTATGTATATATTGTGTGTGTTTCTGTGTTGATGGCGGATGTCCTTCTGTATATGTTTCTCTTACTGGTTGATGAATAAAACACTGATTGGCCAGTAGCCAGGCAGGAAGTACAGGCGGGCCTACCAGAGGAGGAGAATTCTGGGGAGAGGAAGACAGAGAGAAGCAGATGGGGAGACAGCATGTAGGTAATAAAAGAGTAACATACT